ATAATCTCTTTCTCTCTCCGTCCTTGGGAATAATAGAGAACAAGAGATATTGTCACTGGAAATATGAGAAAGGGTTGTGAAGGAAACGTCGGTGGCTTGGGCATGCGAGAATCGGATTAAGACAAATCAAAGTAGGACAGAGAGGGAGACAGCGCAGAGGCGAAAGGGGGGAAAGGAGCGAGCGAGAGAGAGATCTGGGTTTTGGTTGGTTAGGGTAGAAAATATAATTAGGTTTTATTACTGGGTTGGGCTGAGTTTATATTATTGGGCTGGTGGATTAATTTAAAATAAGATTCAATTTTGAATATTTAGTTTTTCAATCGAGATTCAATTTAAGATTTAATCGGGTTGGTTGCAGTCAAATACATGTTTAAATACACTAAACTATCCATGAAGAATTTATGATTGAAATGCAATAAAATTTTATAATTTAAAAGACGACATAAAATTTAAGACAACATATTTAGTTCTTCATGGACGCATCCCTGCAGAGCTTATATATATGTAGCAATTCCCGGGGTATATTAACCAGCAGTTCCCTCACTATGTGTGTCACTTAAAAAAGTCCTTGTATGGTCTAAAGCAGGATCCTCGAGCAGGGTACCAGCGTCTGTCGAGTTTTTTTTATTGATTATGGTTTCTGAGATAATCGGCATAATACTATTGATACGGTATCGTATCGGGATAAGGAAGGTTGAGCACCTCCAAGCTATAGAATTGGGGAAAAGGAAGAGAAGAGAGAATCGCTCGACACTTTGTTCGGCGGAATAGAAGAACGAGAGGGAATAGGAAGATATTAGAGTTTAGGGGAAATGGTTTCTTATTTGATTGAATAACAAACTTATGAATATTGGCTACATATATACAGGACCGGTCCTGAGGATTCATCAGCCTGGGCCGAAACAGAAAAAAGGCCCTAAAAGTCTTATCTTTAATGGTCTAAAAAATTCACATATGTAAACTAATTATATTTAAATTATAATTAACGTAATATTATTAGAAGAAAAAAATAAATGACAAAATTATAGTATTATAATTACATACCGTAAAAGCTAGCCGAGGATTCGAGAAGTTCTCCTTGCATTCTTGAGAGCAAATTGGTTGATCACATCTTCACAATCTATGCTCTCTAAGATTTCTTGAATTATTTCTGAAATAAAATCTAAAATCATAAATTCTACTAAGTAAAATCAAGAATAAAAAATTGCAAAAAGCAAGCAAATAAATAAATAAATCATAAATTAATATCAATTCATCAATTTTTCTTTTTAAAATTGTTTTTTTCTTTTTCAGTTTTAATTTTTTTATAAATCATACATTCATATCAATTCATCAATTAATCAGTTTTTAATTTTTTTTTCAGTTTTTAGTTTTTTTAATATAAATATATAATTATCATAAATAACAAATTCAAATCAATTCATCCAAATCAAATAAATAACATATAGAACCATTCATTCATTCTATTTTGAAGAATGAAATTGGAAAAGATTTCAAATTAAAAACTAATAGTTAACCCTAGATTTTAAATCTAAAAAATGAAACAATGAAAGAAAATTAAGATTTAAGTAATAAAAATTACAAAATTAGGAAGGGAAGGCTATGAATTACCTGGAGGGTGGAGGGACTGGAGGCGTGCAGGTCGGCGACCGGTGGTGGAGGCAGCGAGTCTCGGCTCTCTTGTTTCTTCCGTTCCTTGAGACCTTGACGTTTCTGACTTTCTGCCTTCTGGTTTCTTCGATCGGCAACGCGCAACTGGACTCCTTTCTTCCGTTTCTTTTTTTTGTCTACTGGAGTGGGCTAAGTTAAGGGATGGGTCATGGGATTGGGCCTGCGCTTATATACATATATATATAATACCTATATAAAAAAAATTGTGCCCCTAAATTTTTTGGGCCCGGCCCGGACGGACACCTTGTCCCCCTATTGGGCCGGCCCTGCATATATAGATCATAAAGCTAAAGAATCCTAACCATAAAAGGTAACTAAATAAATTAAAATACTAATACCTAATATAATAATATTCTATAACCATAAATAATAAACTACCTATAATAATAACAACCATAAACAATGTCGCTACTGTTCCAATTGGTATGCCATGATCTTTAAATAACTCTATCACATGTTGCCCACTTTCCACAAGTGCTTGTCCCGTTCGTATAAAATGAGCCTTGTTAGGAGTCGCAACTGCGTGATTTTGTTGGGCCTTGAATGACAAGATAACCCACATTTAGAGTTTAGGGTCAAACTTCAAAGTAATTACATGTTTGCACCCGACTCTTATGGAGAGCATTTTCTTTTTTTTCTTTCCACTTACATCCACTTCTTTTTTTCCAACATCATTAAAACCCGCAGCTCAACATATCCACCTACAATATCCATCGCCTACACTACTCTGCATTCTCATATAAAAACCATTAGATGAAGTATAAGCTTTGTAAAATTCCTCAAATACGTCAAAGTTGTAAAAGTCATTCCAACCTTGGGAATATTATTGTGAGTTTCTTCATTTATTACCTTTGTTAGTGTTGAGAATGACTCACAAAAATTAACAAGTTGACTGCAAATGCTCATCACAGACATCTGTGACGGCGTCAGTTCCTCCACCCACATCAACTCCATTATATGGATGAAATAAGTCTTCTGCCAAAATCAATCTGAAAAACTTTCATCAAAATGCAACCTAAATAAACAAAAGACCATGTTTGTTGTATCAATCTAAAAATACATTTCAAAAACTTTATCAAATTTTAAAGTGAAAAACCAGACAAAAAATTGGAATTTTGAAGCAGAAATGTTTCAATTAGAATTACTCCCTCCGTCCCACTGTCTTTGTCCACTTACCTTTTGGCACACTATCCAATGCACTTCTTTAATCCATTTTATCTTGTAATTTATATATTAAAAAATTATAAAAATTATATATTAATAATCTATAAGTTAAGATGAATCAAACAAGATCACACATGACTATTTTTAGGCTTACACATTGAGAGAATTTGATGAGTCAAAGTGCTTAGATAAACATGTCCAAAAATCAAAAGTGGACAAAGACAATGGGACGGAGGTAGTATGTTGAAGTAAAGAATTGAAGTAAAATCAAACCAGAGTTGTAGTAACACCATTGAAGCAAAAAATTGTAGGGTATATTGAATTAAAATCTGGGCTATCTCGAAGTAAAATCAAACAGGAGGAGAGTGTGTGGGGAACTAAGCTCGTCGTCATCGATGAGAGAGCAGCGAAACGTCAGGAGAGATAATCGTCGATGATAAAATCGTGGAGAGAGAAAATCATGGAGGATGATGATGAGAGCTGCGAGAGATGAAGATTGGAACAGTGAAGAATGCTTCTCCATTAAGTGCGAGGTGAAATAGATCTAAGAGTCGTATTAAATCTTTGTCATTCTTTTAAAAAGGTTCAATTCAAACTGAGAATGAATGTGCCATACCATGACATATAAAGTGAATGTCACGTCAACGGCTCCAATGAAGATTCACTAAGTTTGATGTCATAATTTAAAAACTGATAATGATATTTGTACCTTAAGAATTTGTAACTTATTTTATACACCACAAGAATGCACTAACATTTTGTGTTGATGTAATGCTAATTTTTGTTAATGCGCCAACACTTTGTGTCAGTATAAATTTTTGTTAACCCAATACTTTGAGTCAGTGTAAACCATCAAAATGTTGATGCATACCTTTGGTGTACAAATATGGTACAAAATTTGGGGTACAAGTAGCATCATCCTTAAAAAAAAAGAAAACCCCCCAAATAGGAGTAAACATATGTTATATTCTCAAAATAGGAGTTCAAACTTAAACTTCTCTAAATAGGAGTAATTAAAAAAAATCTACCTTCCTATTCCTAGCTCACTACCTACTCAATAAAGGAAAAAAGCCTGCCTTTTCTTAATGCGTCTTAATATCCAAGCCTCCATCGCAATTGATTTCACTGGTAATGTAATTTTCTTGAATTGCAGCAGCGCAGGAGCAGACTCTTCTAATTTTATTTAATTTCTCAATTTTAATAATATTTCTATATTTTCAATTTTAGACCTGATTTTTTTTGGATTGAGTAATCATTGCTCCGTTGTCCCAATCCAAAAAGGAAAAAAATCATCCCTTCCGTTGATTCCTCTTTTGTCGCAACTCCTTTCAACAAGCTCCGCCCGTCGCTTGCTTAGACTCGCCGGCGGGACCAAAGCATCATATTCGACGCCGGCCAATGCCGAGATCGGAATTCCCACTCTAACTTCGGTCTCCACCGCCGCTGATTCCCTTTCCACCGTTGTCAATGACGGTTGGTCATCCAGCTACCATAACGGTAGCCGTGAGATGGATGATGGTCACCGGTAGTATTATTGCGGGTCAGTGGTTGAGTTTGACATTATTCATTTGCTTGACATTTTGAATTTGCAACACTGGCATTATATATGATAATATGTGACATTATGCATTACTATATGTGACATTATATGGTAATCTGTGGCATTATGTATTACCATATGTGACATTATATATGGCCATGTTTGGAATTATACCTTCATTGTTGTTAATGTGGCACTGCGACAGAGACTATACAAAGTGTGATGGTGGTGTCGGTAATGGTGCAGAGTGTGATGGTGGTAGAGTGTGATAGTGATAGATTTCGTCGATCTCTAGCCTCACTTTGGATGTGCAGATCGGGCAGCTTGTTAGCTTGGTGGCCGCCATTCCCCGCCTCGGCATCCAAAGTTTCGAGTGGGTTTCCGAAGCTCTCTGCACGCGGTTGCAAACACTAGAAAGGGGATTTCCTTCAACGGAAAAATCACTGCCACCACCAGCTTTCCTCATGTCATTCTCTCATATGGTCATCCTTACCCTGAAAAAGTAGATTTGCTAAAGGTCGCATATTTACGGCAATTGAGAAGGTACGGGTGCAGTTCACCCAAGCGAATCCCGTCATGGCGTATCACCGATATGACATTGCTACTATTAACTACTACTGGGCACGAAAAAAATGCACAAAAAACAAGGCTGGCTATAGAGATTGCTAGGTCCTAGCATTTGGAAGGGAGTAACAAAATTGATGGTGATGAATTGTTGGGGTTATCGCCCATAAAGATGTTTCTGAAATTGCTTATGGAGCTTGTGATCTAAATGAGGGGATATCTGTGTTCTAGCCCATGGTTAATGGCTAAGGGTGATTAACTTCTATTTTAAGGGTTTTATTGTTCAGATTTTATCAATATTTTATGTTCTTGATCCTTAAAAAAAATACGGAGTAATAAAGAGGGTACGGTTGCCCGATTTTGGAAAGAACAGTATCAGCCTCTGTAGAGATCTCACAGGAGAGGAGCATTCCATTGAAAAGCACGAGAAGAAGAAGAAGAAGGGAGCAGCAGAAGATGAGCTCAGCGTCGCTGCCGTCTTCCTCCTTGGTCTCTTCGTCTCATCCCATTCAATCGAAATTCCATCTCCAGCCACAACGTTGTTCTCTCGTCCAACTTAGGTTGCCAAAAAAGCCTCTTTCTTCCTTCAATTTTCACTCCCGGAGATTGTCACTGAGGTGCAGGTGTAATAAGACTCCCGGTGGCTCTGATTCTGGTAATTAATCTCTCTTTTTTCTAGGTTTTCTCGATTTTCCAAATCTGCGGTTTCAATTATCTTAAATTTGTAGATACTTTACCAATTTTTTTTAATATCTGAACCAGTTTTGTTTCGAATTTTAAGAATTTATGGTGTTAGAATAAGTGAACTAGATTGAGTTGACTGAGGGGTAAAGGCTTGGATTTTGCAGGTGAAAATGAGAGCAAAATCGTTCTTGATGCCTTCTTCTTGGGGAAGGCTATAGGGGAAGCTCTTAGCGAGCGTATTGAGTCCACAGTGGGTGAATTTGTAAGTACAATTGGGAGATTGCAAGCTGAGCAACAGAAGCAAGTGCTGGAGTTCCAGGTACTCTACCTGTCATTTTTTACTTCTAAAAAGTAAAATTCAACTAATGCATAATGAAGTTATGTACAGCTGAAAAGGTATGTCGAATGGCAGATATTCTGACTTTAGCTTCTCACTTGCATATTCCGTGTGTCAGTAGTCCCAATTCCCAAACGAATTAAAATCAACACATTTAGCTATGTAAATCAGTGATGTACTACTTCATTGCTGAAAACCAACCTAGATACTGTAGGAGAATGGTGAAGCATTGGAATGTTCAACCATCGTCGCTGGCAGGTTAAGTGTTGTGTTGTGGTTAGTCCTTACGTGACAGTAAAATTATGAATAAGTACGAGCTCCAGTGGGAGAATGTTATGTAACACATGAAGTCCATTACTTGATGGTGTTTGGGCTGTGGCTTCCTCTCAACCCTTTCGTGGTGGACTTCCTGATAAACTACCAAATTACCCCTGGGAAATTTGTACCCAACGACTATTTGCTGCTCGTATGCTTCATTAACCTCTTCAGACATATCAAGATTCCTCTCTCAATGTCCACCTTTTCACTGTGCTTCTCGAGCCAAGCTAAGTGCAAAGAGGTGAACCAATTAGCAAGTGGTTAATATGATCCGGAACAGAGAGTAAGTAAAAGGGCACCTATATGGGAACACTCATGGCACAAATGCATGCTAGAGGCCTGCTCTTACCAACTTTTATGTTCTATTATCCACACTAGTCTACAGATTGCAGTCCCCAAAGTCCAATGCCCAGGCTCCAATCTCTATCGCCCAAACTATGGATTCCAGGTAAAGTTAAGATGAAAATAACATGCACTGGATAGGGAGAACAGGATTTATGAGCTTTGCAGCAAGTGGAATACAAGAGTGTTGTTATCAAAATATGGTTCTCTCCCATGTGGCTAATGGTGTTTATGTAGATGTTGTAGGTGTGACCCAGTAAATGCCCAAGATATTTCCCGCGCTGACCACAACCACATGTATCTATGCTTGAGTGGTTTGCATTTGTTATTCATCTAACCCTAGGCTCGTTGTGTGTTGGCTACAACAACATGTTTCCCAAGCCTACATATCTTCTTAGGCTTACAATTGTCCACTAGCACGAGGGTCACATTCACACTAGGGAATGCTCGGTCAAAACCTCTTACCGACCGGCAAAACAGGTCCTAAGATGTCACCTGCCTGAACAGTCACATGACCTTTTCCCAGGCCCTTCTCACTTCATGTGTGTGCATGTGTTTGTGTGTGTGTATGTGTTTATTTGTTTGTGGTAAAGCTCATACTCCTCCAAATATGTAAATTTCTGACTTGATATGGAGGACTTACTAGTAGTCTAGTAGATGGATTTGGTGGTGACAATATGGTTCTATGAATAAACTGCATATAATAGAGGTAGTTGAGTTTCTTTTCATTATCACAGTAGTATATTTTAAATTTAAACTCGCATGGGCAGGTTATAAACTGTTTGCGCTTCTTGCATTTGTGAAGTAGCAGTTAGTCAATGCAACTTCGACGCTCACGGCTCATCATGGGTCATCTGCAAACAGCCGCTCTATGTTTAAACATAGGGGTGACGTACATCCGACCCCCCCCTTACCCTGCAATGGGCGGGAGCCGTTGAGGCACTGGTTCAATGTTGTTGTTGTATGGGAAGGTTAATTGCGGGTTAATGTATTTCTATGATGTTCTATAGGTTGACCAATGCCTATATGATGTTTTTGGGTTCCACACTTCCATGTCTTTTGTATTAACACACTTCGACAAAATGCTCATGAATCAAGATGACTGCCTTCTATATATTGAAGTTGCAACATACTACCTCCGTCCCATTGTCTTTGTCCAGTTTTGACTTTTGGAACTGTTCATCTAAGCACTTTGACTCATCAAATTCTCTCAATGTGTAAGCCTAAAAATAGTCATGTGTGATCTTGTTTGATTCGTCTTAACATATAGATTATTAATATATAATTTTTATAATTTTTTAATATATAAATTACAAGATAAAATGGATTAAAGAAGTGCATTGGATGGTGTGCCAAAAGGTAAGTGGACAAAGACAGTGGGACGGAGGGAGTAATTGGTTAAATGAACTATAATAGTACTTCATAACGAAGAAATTCAAAAACACTGATTGAATTGCTGGATAATGCTCATCAAGATAGTGCATTCTATCTCACTGTCTGTCTTGGGAATTTTTATTCCCTTCCATATTACATAACAAGTTCCATGACATTGGTAATACTAGACATTGATATTTAATGTGCACTAAACTATGACATGACTCCTGAGCTTGCTCCATATCTCAACATTGTATTTTATGTTTTTTCAACACATTGTCTAATAACATTGTTGGATAAACAACACGTTGTCTCTTTTGGAACACTTTGCGCTAGAAATACTTCTTATACTGACAGGGTTCTTCAACACACGATTGCAGGAAGAAGTTTTGCATAGGGCTAAAATGGCCAAGGAAAAAGCAGCACACCAAACGTTTGAAGCACAAGGTCTTACCCCAAAGCCAGCCACACCTGATCCGATGACTTATGCCACAGTACCACCAAGTCAAGCTAATACGACCTCCTCTTATCCCGACTCAAATTTTCAGGCCTTCAATAGAGAATCAGATTCTAGCGACGAAGGCACTCCGTTTGGCTCATCCGATAAGTATTAACAATAAATGCACTTGTTTACTGCATTTTGCAAAGATTAAACACGACACTTATGTATAATTAGTATTTTAACCCGTGCCATGCACGAGATGGTCCAAAATTGTTTGTAATTCTACAATATGGAATATTAAAATGACTTTGTTTCTTATGAGACATATGATTTAGACATCAAATATAAATGATCTAGGTTTATTGAATTTATATAAATCTATAATTTTTATTCCCGTATAAATTAAGAAAATACAAAAAATAGTAGTGATTCTATGAATCTTTTCTCTAGCATAAATTTTAAAAAGCTTGAATTACCGATCTTATGATATCAATAAGAACAACATATAATACAAAAATTACAATCAAATGCCAATATACAGTGTCACATTATATTACAATAGTACCATTTTGTAGATAAAAACATGTGACTCTTGTTTTGTAATGTTTTTTACTTCTATTTTTTGCTTGATTTCTGAAGGGAAATTTACAAAAAAAATTACTTTTTTTATTCTTTTTATTATTTTTTCATTAAAATGCAAAATCATCTTAATGCATAATAGCATTCTAATCAATACAAAATATTCTCACAAAATATAAATAATTGCAAATTGGAAAATATATTTCTCTTTGATATGCTTTGTATCCAAGTTTTGATCTTATTCGTTTTTGCACCTTGGATCTTCTCGGCACTTTTTCTTGCTTCATTTATTGCGGTTACACCCATTTTCATTGTCACAGACCTTCTAGCACTCACCTCTGCATCTTGATCTTCCTTATCACAATTGTTTTGCATACATCTATGTCATCTCTCTCTGTCTCATAAAATACTATCGTATGTCATTTCTATGTATAATTATGCAAATGAAAGTGTAGAAATGAAGCGAGTCCCCTCTCATTTAAATTTTGTTATCTTCATGCATAAATATAGTGAATACTTACACAATATAAATTTATAAATATTAAGTTACACCTTAGTAAAATGGTAAGTTAAAATACAAACTTATTTTGATTAAATTAGTAAGTCAAATTACCAACATAAAAAAATTCATATTAAATATTTATTTCATTTAAATACTTGATTATTTTAGGTAGTAGTCAAAGCATTTCTTGTTTTATAAAATTTTAAAATAGAGATTAAAATATATTTTTTATTTTACATCAATGTTTAAATAAATATAATAAAAACTATCTTCATTTCGGCATATAATAAAAAATATGAAACTTACTCAAAGTATTATTATAAATGAAGTAAAAAAATTATATTAAGAAAGAACACTAATAAAAATGAAGATCTCTATTCCATATTTAAAATTTGTCAATGATGGTGAAACACTAAGAAATGCTTGTGTAAACATAAGAAGTCATGATGATACATTTGTTTCTAAATTTTATTCAACAATATAATTAAAATTATCATATACTGATAAATATTAAAATATAATGTATTGTTTTCTCTATTTTTATATACTCGATCAAATGAGCAGCAATGGTAGTTAAATCATGCCATAAACTTAACATATTCGATCAAATGATCCAAACTGGACAAATAATCAGGGAAGGAAGTAGTAATTAAAAAATAAGATTCTTCTCATTCATAATCCTAATGTCCC